CCATGGTGAAGGTTTTGCCTGTTCCAGTCTGCCCATATGCAAAAATAGTACCTGAAGGATAAGAAAAAAGAACAAACTTTAGGAAGTTGAGTCTTCTCTAAACTCAAACTGCAGTTTTACTTCATCCCTTCTTAGTCTGATAGCACCAAACACCTCTGTTTTCATGGAGTTAAAATTTTCCACCCACTCCAGTAGCTACTGGAATACAACGCTGGAGTAACAGAAATGCTGGGCAAACACGACCTATCTGCTGCTTAATCCAGCCTGCAAGATATCTAATAAAAAGTCAGCTTGTTTTAAAATTGCAGAGTGACTAAAGCATGAGATGCTAGTACACTTCAGTTCCACTGGGTACTGAAACCCCACAGTGAAGAGCCACTGATAATGACATAAGTGCCTATCTTTTGCAAAGAGAAGATAAAGGATAACAACATGCAGCTAGCTGACCTCAAAGGAGTCTCCTTCATTACCCATCTACACTCTTAAAGACAGCACTGGGTACAACCACGGAGCACTCAGAACAGCAAGTGCCTTCAGGCTATTTTAAGTTAGAGGCCACAACAGAAATTATTTGAGGCTGCAGCCCTCAGAAGGTGAAACTCCCTTAAACAAGATCAGCAGGAATTTTATCAAAGCAAAAAACAGGAGAGAGGATAAGATCCTTCCCTTACAACAAGGGACTTACCATTGTATCCCTCTAGGACAGAATCTATAATAGGTCTTGCTGTTAAATTATAGACATCCAGCTGTTTACTCTCTGGTCCAAACACTGTGTCAAATGTGAATGTCTTAGGAGGCTCATTGGATGAGTCTGTTTTATGGACAGTTATAGTTCCCCTCATCTCATCCACGTTCACTGCCATCTTGTAGCCCGTGGCTTTCTCCCGGTCATTGAGAGGCCGGCAGCGAACAACCACCTTGACATTGTCACAGCTTTCCGGCTTGTCCGGCTTCTCAGGCCTGTTAATCTGTAATTATTTAAACAAAAATGCACAGGCTGTAACACTAGTGTTAACACAGAACCACAGAAAGGTTTGGGGTGCAAGAAACCCAGTTCCACCCCTGCCTTGGACAGAAACACCTTCCACTGGAGCAGGTTGCTCTGAACACTTCCAGGGATGAGACAAGCACAGCTGCTCTGGACAACCCATACCATGACCTCACCACCCTCACAGGGAAGAATTTCTTCCTAATAGCCAATCTAGCCCTGCCATCTCCCACTATAAAACCACTGTGTGTCTAAGCACAAACACTGCTGAATCAGCTTGGGCAGCTACGTCTCCAGAGGATCATGAACGTGGGGACTGAAAACCAGGACCGGTTTTTAATTAAAGCTGAGAGAACAACACACTTATTCAGGCAATGGGATCTTCTTCAGTTGGCCAACATGGAAACCGAGTAAACCATGAACGAGTAAACCTTGAGCATTTCACATTCACAAGAGTTTTTTCAAGAGACAATTTCACCTTGCAACCTGCAAAAAGTTTGCTGGAATTCGGTGCAGCTATGACATTCTTCTTCAGTAACACTGACTATACACTCTCAAACCTCACAGAGCACACAATCAGATGCCAGGGAGTGCTGGCTGAAGGGAATTCATTTTAATTACAACACTCAGTATACATGCTTAAGTTTAGTACTTTAGAATACCTGAATGTTGCATTATAAAACCTCACATTCATTTTCTTTCATGTAGTTACCAAAACAAATTTTGAAGCACGGCTGATGAATCAGTTAAGAGACACCCCCGTGGGCTAGAGGTGCTGCAGCTCAGCGTCTAACTGCTCCTAGAGCAGCTACGCTGCATGTCAAGCCGAAACAAACCCTTCCCAAGCGCCTCTCCCTCCAGCTGGCCCCTGCCCCGATCCCTCCCAGGCCTCAGCAGCGGCTTTTGCCGTGCTGCTGAACGCCGAGAGCGGCTCAGCCGCACCTGGGCGGGGGAGGGACGGCACACGAGGCGCCAGCCAAAACCAGGAGCGGGACTCGGCGTCACCACGAGCCCCCAGGACATCGGTCGGGACCCTCCGGGGCGGCCGGACCGCCACTCCCCGCTGCCAAGGCACCGCCGCCTCTGCGGGGCCCGGCGCCGCCCGCAGCCCCTCATCACCCCCGCGCCGCTCGGCCTGACAGGCACCGCCCGCCCTGCGGCTCCCGCGCGCACATGGGAGGGGTGACCGGGCTGACAGCGCGGACAGCTCCGACGGGCTGTGAGGGGTGACCGGGCTCTGAGGGGTCTCCAGCGGTTTGACAGTGCTCCAGAGCTCTGGAAGAGCTCTGCCAAGGCTCCACTGCTCTGGAATGGCTCCCGGGGGTCTAAAGGGGCTCTGGGTCTCTGACAGGGCTGCAAGCCCCAACCCGTTCTCCACACAAGAAAGAATGTCCATCTCCTTCTTTTCCTGAATGTAACGTTTTGAATTGCTGGTGAAATAGAGGGACTGCAGAATAACTTAAATATAAACAAGCAATACAGTCCAAGTGGCACATAAATCAGTTAGTCCTGCACTAATGAAGCACATTCCCAAGTTATTTGTCATTTAGTGTAAAGTTTCACAGCATACTGCTGGGATCCTCCTCAGCCTCACCTGCTCCTCTCCTACTCCCAGCATTTCAACATCACACTGTCCACGTGTCAGTTACTTAAATGAATTAGATTAAATTATTTCAATATCTTTGTCCTTTCATAATCTATGTCCTTAAGGGTCAATTTTACTGAACAGGAGAGGTCCGGGAATAGCTTCCCCAGTACCCGATGCCCTGAATCACACTTGTCTCGCTTCCCCCAGCTCTTCCTGCACACCCAAGTCCTGTTGGCAGGTCACAGAGCCTTGCTGCAGTCCCACTGCTCCCCTCCCTGCCTTTGCTGTGGATCTGGGACCCGGGATCCCCGGCAGCGAGCACCAGGCACGGACACAAACCAAGGGCTGTGCCTCGGTCGTGCTGCATTTTGCCAGAGGGGTGTAAGCAGCAGCAGGAATGTGGACAGAGCTGCTGTGCACCTGGCAGATGGGAGCCCAGCAGACTGACTGGGTGTCCCAGGGCCGGGCACACCGGTAATGACAGGACAGGGCCATTCCCCAGCCCAGGTGAGTCAGGAACCTCAGCACCAGCCATTCAGCCAAGCCTCCTTGCTCTTCACACGCTGCCGCGGTGTTAGTCAGAGCTGTGCTGCACGCACAGATTCAGGGACTAACAATTTAGCACCAGAAAATGTATAGCCCAAGGGGCTGGTGAGACAGCAGAGAGTCAAGTGTAGGCACGCAAAGCTGAGGAACGTTTAACATAAAATATTGGAACCAGCTTCCCACAGAAAATGCTGCAGGAGGAAAACAAAGGGGTGCAGGATCTGAGGGGAAAGCTGAGCGTGGCTTTGCGACCTGGAGAGATCCTGGGTGGAAGAAAACGTGGTGTGAAAACACGGATGCTGGCAGAGGGGTCCAGCCCTGGGAGGGGACAAGCGTGCATATGCTCCATGAAAAACACAGAGAAAAGATACTGGAAAATAGGTCCTGGCAGGTGCTGGGATTGTGTGGATCCAGCAAATGCATGTTTTGGAGCGGGCCAAGAAGAGAAGAAGGACAGCACATCTGTCAAGGCAATAACCGGTGCCAGATAAAGGAGCAAGTGGATTTGGGGGCCGTGCAGAAGTTACAGTGTTTATCACCGCGGCAGAATTTCATCCGGATCCCGCTTTGCCTGGCACAAGATCTCTGCACAGGTAGGACAGACCCACAGGGGCCAGACAGCGGACCCCGGGAGACGGGCTGGGCACTGCAGCCGCCCGTGCCCCGCAGATCCTGCGGAGCGGCCCGGCAGCCGGGGCTGCTCCGGGCGGGTAAGGACAGGACAGGACAGGACAGGACAGGACGGGGTCCCCATCGCCGCCTTGGCTCTCTGCAGGGCTGCAGGGGCTGCCTGAGCGCCGGCGGTGCGGGAGCTGCTCGGTGGCGTCCTCAAGGACAGTCGAAACTAGCCACAGGGAGGGCGAGATTTTAATTATTATTCCCCCCCAGCTACGCAAGAGTAAACTTCTCCGTGCATCAAACCGGTCAGATAAATCATTGCCAGCTCTCCCTCTGTGAGACGGTCCGGCTTTGGATGCTCTGACATCCAGCGGCAGCCGAAGTTAGTCACATGTGGTTCCTGCTTCCAGGGAAACCTCACAGAGCTCCAGCTTTAGAAATGTAGAGCAGTTTCCAGAGGATTCACGTCACTTTGGGTTTTTAAATGGAACTGCAGAGATAATGGTGTGAGCTTCCAGAAAAAAACTGTGAGGAAGCCCACATTCATCACTCCTTGGAAAGAAAAGCAGGAATTTTATATCTAGTAACATCTCTTTTCTGTTGTTAAAGAGACACCAAAATGTAATCCTTGAAATAGTTTCAGGCTGGATGCTCTCATTCACTTGGTGATTCAGAGATGTTTATTTCCTGTAAATGCTGCCCTTAGTCTGGAGAGTGGGATTTCCAAAGTGGTATCTCCAAAGATTAAACTGCTCTGAGGAAAACTTTTAATTGGGAATTCATAAACCTCCTAAGAACAATCAACTTTGAGCCTTTTTATGGAAACCATAAGCCTCTATTTGCCCGATACTTGAAATCAGGTGATGACAGGTTGCAGAGTAATAGCTCAGCAAATGGAGAGCCAAATGTGTGAAACAGGATAAATGGAGTAATCTGGAGTGCTTGACCCAAGGTTTCTCTAGCCATCACACAGCCCAGCAGTGAAGAAGCTGGACTGTGTTGTCGTTCAGCCATCTGACGTGTTTTCTTTCATCAGGAACTTCCAGGGAAAATGCATATCAGGATTGCTCTGTCTGCAAACAAACAAGTCCTGTAGCTGCTCTTCAGTTCTCAGCACTGGAAAGGCATCAAAAGAGGAAATCATCCTTAGTACAAGGAGTTGGGATGTTGTTTTATATTTTGTTTGTTTTTGTCAGTGGCTCTCATCAGGAAACTAACTCAAACAGCTGCCATGAAGTGTCCTGGACATATAGAGAGCTCATGACTTGCCTTTTTTTTTTTTTTTTTTTTTTTTTTCTGGAAAATGCCTTAGCCAGAGAGGCCAGGATTTGGAAAGTGCCAGTTTTCCAGAACCTCACCGTGAAGGTATCCTCCCCTGTCCTCTTTGGAATTCCCTAAAGGACCCTGCAAAGATGCAGTGCTGGTCATGTCATCTGATACACCTGAATGCAAAAGTCATCCCTCATGGGCTAGGCTTAAGGAATGGAGGGGCAGGAGGCTCTGTATTTATCCCATTTTACACTTTATTGATGCCTTATATAAACCAGGGGCTTTGAATTTTGCTCTGACTCAGTCAGAAAAGTACTTTTGGGAAATGTGAAATAGTTTGGGATAACATGGTACAGCAGCCATTTGGTAATAAAACCATTTGACATATTGTGTTCAGCACTATCTGTGAATGCCATCTGTTAAGGTGGGAGAAGATGGAATTCACTGGGGCCTAACAGAAACCCAGCCCCATTCCAAGCTGCCTTAGGAAGCTGCAAGACTCCGTGGCCTCTGTGTACAATGCAAAACAGTTTCACTTGGCTGCCTCTGTAAGTGCAGCAGAACCATGGAAGAATGCACAGGAGTGCCTTGACAGCCTTGTCTCTTCTTTGCAGTAGTCTAGAAATGCTACTTTTATCTAGCACTTTTACTACTGAATTAAGCAAAATAGTGAAACAGATAATGGGATGAGTATTATTAAAGAAGTTGGTGTTTAGTCCTGTCTGTTCTGTGTAGCTGCTTGGCCTTTTTACTCCTCCTACAATGCTCAGGTGTGTTCCATGGCTCCTGGGTGCTATTCTCACAGCAGCCATGGTCCTCCCATTCACTGAATGCAGCTTCAAATAAGATATAAGAAAGAAAACTCAGTACATTTTGTCATGTACCTTTGGGGAGTCACAAACCTGGCTCTGGTCCAAACACTCAGCAAATCCAAGGGCTGTTAAAACTCTTGCAGACTAAATAAAAACCTACTCCTGACTTCAGTTTCTCTGTTGAGGCTGGCTGAGTGGAACACGTGCTTTAAACTACTCCAGAACGTGCCCTTGCCCTCCCTCTGTGGACACAGCTGACAACTTCCTTAATTTCAAGCCTCCAGCCATCTAAAATGCTAATTAGAGCACTTAAAAAGATTCGAGTCTTCCTTTGGAGATATGTTAACAAAATCATCAAAGCAGTAACTGTATTTTTCTTCCAACTTTTCCTTCCCCTCGGGGCACAGATATCTCTCTGTCAGGTTACAAAAAAGCAGTTCTCTGGATTGCAGAAATCAGCTCCCAGTTCCAGTTTTACCCATAAACGTTCACCTTAGCCACCAGAACCTTCAATGCTCTGTTGGCATCAGGAAAGGTAAAAATCTCTGTCAGCTTTTCCCTGGCTAGATTACTGACTGGGAATGTAAGGAGCATGTAATCAGTTTATAGACAAAGCAGGGATGATGTTTGGCAGAGGATTTAGGGAGCAGTCAGGGTCGTTGCTGGGGAAGGCCATTAAGCAAATATATATATACACACACATGTATGAACTTGGGTGTTTGATGAGGTTCCACTGACCTCATTAGAATTGTTTGTGTGAACTTAGTCCAACTGCTGTGGTAAGTACAAAGAACTCATCTGGTTTTCTCTGCTAAACAGAAATTATTCACATTATCACTTCTAATATTCTGTGTTTTAGACTACTATTTTTAATTAAACTGTGGGGCTGAGCTTTTCTGTCACTGAAGCTACAGCAAAGGTAGGAGTTGAGCTGAGCCTTGCAGCTCCCCATTCTATTTAGGTTGATACTGGCATATAGAATCACAGAATCATTAAGGTTGGAAAAGGCCTCTAAGATCAAGTCCAGCATTTGAGTGATCACCACCCTCTCAACTAAACCACAGTACTAAGTGCTACATCTAGTTATTTCTTGAACACCCCCAGGGATGCTGACTCTCCCAGCTCCCTTGGCAGCCTGTTCCAATATTTAATAACCATTTCCAGGAAAAAATTCTTCCTGAAGTCCAACCTGAACCAATATCTGAAAGTGAAGAGCAACATTGCAGTGTAAATACTGTGATATTTCAGAGTCTAAAAGTTGTGAGAGACATGAATAAAAATGGCACCTATAAGAGGATTTATTCTGCTTCACTTTGAATTTCTTTGTTCTATTTCCAGCCTCTGTAGCTAAACTAATTCAGAAGCAACTGTAACTTAAATGAAAGTTTGAAACTTCTGTATGTATGAATGACAATTATTTCCCCCAGGACTCTTATCTTCTTTACTCAGTGTTTTCTTCTTCTTCTCCCTTCAGGCCCAATTAAAATATCTGCAGTGCATTGCAATTTCCTGCCTTGTCCTTGCAGCAAAAACCAATGAAGATGAGGTCTGTATGTTTCATTTTAAACACACTAAAAATTGTTCATATTTCCAGGTCTTTCAACAACTTGGACATAATGAAAAAGTGTTAATTTGTTTACCCTAAGTAGTTCTAAAGAAGTGAGAGTAGCATTTTCAGTCCTGTTTCACTGTTGCTCCAAAGAATTGTGACCTTTTGTTTTTGTTTATGTCATGGATGTGTTTCTGTCCTGTCCCCAAGACTCTCTCCTCTTTTCAGAATCCCTGGCTCACAGCAGAGCTAGTCTGAGGGGACAGTCAAGATGCCCATCAGAGGGCTGTAATTCCCATGCTGGAGCTCCTGGGAGGGCACAGCAGTGTGAAGAGCAGAGGCTCTTCAGAGGAAGATTTAAATAGATGAGTTTGCTCGGAGCCAAAACTGGCTTCTGAACCCTGTGAGGAACTGACTCATGTCTGCACCTCAAGATGAGAAAGTAAAGTCAGCAGCCAGTGAGAAATTACACAGGATAGCTCTCATGGCAAAATGCAGTGATAGACTTCTGCAGGCATTTACAAGCGTTAGCTAAAAGCATTTCAGATTGCATTCCTCCTCTTTCCTTCCTTCTGCTTTGCAAAAGAGGAAAGCCAGGAGCTGGAGCCAGACATACACATCTCTTCAAACAGCCACTGTGGTAGTGAAATGTTCTTCACAGCCTTTCTTAGGTGGTGTTACACTGATGTTATTGTTCTTTTCCTCTCAGCTACAAAGAATACTATGTCAATGACCACAGGAAACAAGACAACCACAGCAGGCCTTGTGAAACAGGCTGACAGGAAGCCTCCTCTGAAAACTAGTGATAGCAGGGCAGGTGCATCACTGATGCCCCACTGGGGAGGCCCATGGCATCATTCTCACTGTGGGCTGGGCCTGCAGCAGCTGCCCTGGGCTGAGCAGGGACTCTTTAATTAGGATGGGAAGTACCCAGGATGAGATCTCCTGAATGAGCATTCTGCTCAACATAAACTTGTGTAAACTTGTCAGATCCCCTCACAATACAGAGAAGCGCACACAGTACTGTAGAGGACGTTGGTTTCTTTATTTTTTTTTAATTTTTAAAAATTTTTTTACAGGTAATACCATCAGTGCAGACGCTAGCGGTGCGGAGCAGATGTAAACACTCTCCAGCCGAGTTCTTGAGAATGGAAAGAATTCTACTGGATAAGCTTCACTGGGATCTTTACACAGAAACACCAATGGATTTCTTAAACATTGTAAGCACTATGTTTTGCAATGTTTTTTCTTTAAAGAAACAACTCCTTATCAAATAAGACTAAAAAACACAGATGCACACACACACCCACCCACACATCCTTCCCAAGATTCTTGGCAAACTACCTATTCCTACCTATCTTCAAGCCTTTTAAAGAATATTACAATAATTATATTTTAAATTTTTTTTTTAAATTTTCTACTATTTAAAACCTTCTATTTTGCTAAAAAAAATTTACTCTCATCTTTAAAGGAGAACTGAAGGGACATTAAAAAGATTCTCATAATGCACAACCATATGCCTTCTTTATTTTTTTTAAATACAAGCTGCAAAAATAATTCTAACTATTTCCCTTCTATTAATACTGTACATACAAAGTTGTCAGTTTTGCTACATTTCCCACATAGGTCTTTTCTTAAAACATTTTCCTTTTCATCCCACTAATTATTCATTTATGCAATGAGACTACCCTGGTCTGGCACTTAGTTCACATTGCAATTACTAAAGATTTAATAGAAACAATTAAACTTTGTCTTCAAGAAATGATCATGTACTAGTAAGGCAAAATTCATGTGATATGAACATATCCTGGATCCCTATTATAAGATTATGTGCAAATATTAAGCCATTTTAGGCTGCTGATTGTGAAAACTGCCTTTCGTAGGTACTTGTTTCCTTGGTGAATTCGGAGTGCAGTATTCCTGGTTTTACTGGATTTGGAGCTGCTGTCCTGAACTGAATCTCCTGGACAGCAATCTGGATAATGTAGAAACCTCAGAAATTGTTAGGAAACATAGACCTCGTACATTCATTATCACCTCAAAAAAACAGTTCAATGATTGGCAAGTACGAACACAAAAAAAAAAGGTGGGGGAAGCCTTCAAGTTTCCTGATATGAGATGAAATTCATCTGTACTTCTGGGTGATGACATGAAAACATATAAACTTCACTAACCTCTGCTTTTCATATATATATGTGTGTATATATATATGTACACTTTGTCTTCTCTGCAGTTCCATGCCATGGTGATGTCCAGCTGGCCCCATCTCCCACCCAGACTGCCTCAGAGGAATCCTTCCCTCCACGTTGCACTCTTGACCAAGCAGCTGCAGCACTGTATGGCCTGCCACCAACTTGTGCAGTTTAAGGGCTCCACGTGGGCTTTGGTGATCATCACCTTGGAGCTGGAGAGGCAGACTCCTGGTTGGCTTCCTGTTATTACTGATCTGCTAAAAAAAGCACAGGTAGGAAGCAAAACGGCCTTTGGTCACAAATCCTGGAGGCAGGACATGATAAAGAATAAAGCCATGTGTATTTACAGCCAATATTGCACTTCAGCAGCTCCTGAGACTTGTGTCCTTGTCCTGCCTCTGCCACAGCCCTTGCTGGTACTAACAAAAGGGAACAAAAGTGCAGTTCAGGGGTGGGACTGGGGAGAGGGACATCCCTTTGGCAGGGAAGGGATGGTTCCAAATTCTTGGCCAGAGATTGCTGCCTGCATCCTGAGCCAGGAGAAATTCTCTCATGATGGGAGAATCTGAGAGCACCTAGAAATCTGCCCAGCTTCCTCCCTCTGAACTGAGGAAACTTTTAGGTACAGTCACATAGCTCTAAAAATACAATCAGCTTGACTTCTAATGATTTAAGACAAGCTCTTTTTTTTTTTTAAAGAAAAAAGCTTTTCCCCATTTTCATAAAACATATGCCTTCTAAGAAAGCACACTTAGAAGGCTAAACACCCAGGCTATCAGCTTGCCATCCACCCATATTTCAGACCAGCAGGTCCCAGCAAACAGAACAGCCAAAATAACAGGGCAAAAGTGGCACTGTGCTTCTCAGGGGACAAAGACACTTGGTATTATCAGTCCATTTTTTATGTCCTTCTTAAGCAGTATGTGGTACCCCTCAGTTTTAAGATTATGTAAAGACAGAAAGCTGGGGAGGGGAGGGACTTGGTCACAGTCCTGCAACCCAGGGATCCAGTTGGCAGGCAGCTACAAACTTCATGGAGAACCAAATGCCTCAGAGTTTATTTTTAAAACTGCCATGATGAAGTTTGACAGATTGAGCCTTTCATCCAGCTCATACCATTGTTCCCTCATTAGAGCTAATCTGGCTCTGCCCATGGGAGCTGAACAGGAGCTGCTGTCGAGGAATGGGCAGCCCCCACTGCTGCCTCTGCAAGAGATCTCAGACGGAACCAAGGTTTTGATTCAGCACTGAGAAGCTTCAATCAAACTCCCAGTTTTCCTTAAGGCCTTACCTTGTAATCCAGGGGCCTGGGATCTGGGCTTTTTCCTGGTTAAGCCATTACAGACTCTATCACAGTTCCTATGAAATGTGGGAAATCACTTCTTGTCTGCAATCACCATTGCCTTGAGCTCTCACCTGACCATGTGCTGGTCAGGACTTTTAAAATTTATTCTGTCTTACCAGACTAGAAAAAATAAAATGCCTTTAATAATTCCCCCCCACCACTACAACCACATTATTTCTTACAAATTGCTTAATCTTCATAGCAAAGTGGTTTTACAAAGGTCAGATAAAACCAGTCTTGCACTTTTAAAAACCAGTTTCACAAATCCTTTCAAAATTAGTGTTTTTGTTTTAAACAATAGGCATTTTTAGGTGATTGTTACCCTAGTTTGAGGGTATAATCCAGCCAGTAGGGGATGGGTAACAGCACCATACCTGCCATCCTGTCACAGAACAGGAGCGGGGTTCATATGGACTGGCACAGGCTAAATACTGAGCAATGACATGGGATAAATAACTTGGAGACAGAGATGGGACAGGAACAAGGAGATAGTGCTGTGCAACTACAGAACTCATCAGTGCAAGAAGAATATTTCTGGCCTTCTCCTTTTCTTCATTATCTTATCTTGTAGGAGAGGAATTCCTGCACCAGCCATGCAGGACTGATGTGCTGAGCAGCTGTTCACACTTTCTCAAGTGTTAAATTTTCCAGAGTGAGCTCTGTGTGTGCAGGGAGAAAGCCATGCAGCTCTGGAAACCACAAAGGAAGCCCCCAAGTGTTCCTGTAGCATCCAGTAATGGAGACTTAGTGCAAATAACCTGTGTGAACAGATACGACTTGAACCAGCAGTGAAAGCCACAGAACTCCCCTGAGCCAGGTCAAAGCTACCTCAAGCTGTGGATGCTGTGCTGAGAGGGGGCCCTGCCCAGGCCTGAGATGCTGCAGGAGCAGGACTTGGGGCTGGTTTAGACCACAAGAGGTTTGTGAGGTCCCCACATACTCAGGGGAGAGGCAGCAGCATGCTTGGAACATGATATTTATTTCTGCTACCACAGGGAAGGTTCTCATTTAATGGCAGGGTCTTCCCTCCTCCTGAGCAGTGCCTTCCTTTTCTCTCACAAGCTGTGAGTTGACTGCCTGGCTTTTGGAAGGAGGTGAGTTGTCTTTTATAGTTTCCACTAAATAAAATATCAGCTTGGTCTGCCTGTTCGCTGTGACCCTGGAATAGCCCAGCTGAAAGGTGATGCCCACACCAAGCCCTGCAGAAATCTGGCCTGTGTGATGGGCTCTGCTTCCCTCCCATCCCTTTGCCCTATCCCAAGCATTGTCACCAGCTGTGTGTACCCGTGGAAATGCCAGCAGCAGAGTTCTGCACACAGTAATTAACATGCTGTAACTCTACACCACAACAATCCTAACCTGGTGTTTTCCCCCCACAGCTGTGAGCCTATGGATACAGTTCCTGCCTGCAGCTGGATGATGTGTTAAAACCCATGAACAAACCTGCTTTTCAAAATCTCTGCGGATCTCTATGATCAACATGCAAAAGTAAACATTAACAGGGGTTAATTCTAAAAGATAAAAGCAGTGCTGGAAGGCCCTCCAGGGCTCTGTGTTACCAGTCAGGGTGCAAGATGCCACACTGGGATGGGAACGGTTCACCTGGAGCCTGCCTGTGCTCCCAGGACACACTGCTGCTTCTCTGGCAGCACAGCTCCCTGCCACACACCTATTCCAGCACTGTAGTTACCATGAAGGAACAAATACTTCTGTCTTGGCTCCAACAGGCTAAAATTGTCACTTACCTTTTCATTCTGCCATTGCTCAGAATGGAGCTTCCTCCCCAGAGAATGAGCTACCAGGTACAGGAAGGAGCTGCTCTTGCACAGGACCATTCTTGCCACAGAAGGAGCTTTTTGGATAGTGAGAATAGCACCAATTCTCTTTTTTTTTTTCTCACAGAACAGGGTGAGAAGCTTTAACACCTTTCCCCTCCCTGCCTGGACAAGTAATGAGTGACAAGATGAACACTCCCCACACACAGCAGTGTCAACAATAATTACTTTGCCCACTGAGTTTCAGAGAGGATGACAGCTTACCTGTGTGCCTACCTGTTTGGACTGTGTGTACAACACAAGTTTATTCCAGCTGCAGCTCAACTCACCACTGCAGATCCCATTTGCTACACACCAGTTACTGGTGAAAATGTGCCAGATTCAGAGTGCTGGCACAGGTCTGATGTGGTTATGGCTAGCTCTGTTGTTTTGGGGAATATTCACTCCCAGAAAAACTACAGAGAATGCTTATAAAGTATTTTCAAAGAGCTCTGACCTGGTAAGGTCCCTTCCCTTGGGGGATCTCAGCCCAGGTGAGGCATACCTCCCAAACCCAGGCTCTTCTTGTTGTTGCCTCAATTCAGACCAGATTTCCAGATGCCTGAAGCTACCACCACCTTGTAAACAAAGCTGCAATTACACCTGAAATCCCCTATGGTAAGCACACAGACAACTGTTTTCTGAGGCTGTTTTAAACCACCTACAGAAACAGCAAAGCATTTGAGATCCTCCCACCCACCACAATGTCCCCCATTCATAACCCCCAGCTGAAGGAGCCATGTCACAGCTCATGCAGTCACCAGGATCCCCTGCAGGTGAGGAGGGAGCTGCCCCATTCCAGGACAGCACTCACTGGGGTGTTTCTGCCAATAAACCTGACTCACTGTCACTAATTGTGGAGGGTGTGTGATGACCTAGGAGAAGAGTTCATTTACACAGTTGCACAAATAAACTCCTGTGGTCAGAGAACTGACCAAGAGACAAGAAAACTGGAAAGGAAGCATAATGCAATAGTTATACCTCATTTGTGGCATTGCAGCTGTGCAGTTGTTTTTTTTTTCTCCTGCTAATTGACTTTGGTGTTAAATTGAATTTGAGCAGTACTTACAGTTCAATTCTTTAGGAAAGCAGAAAAGTGCACTGAGATGGAGAGATGCATTAACTTCTGGCAGTTCTCAGAGCCCCCTCCCATTCCTCCTCAGCAAGATGTGCAACTGGAATCCCCCTGGTGACTGAACTATGGTCATGACAAACAGAACTTAATCAAATCTGAGCAATTTGGAAAAAGAACAGAAAGCTTCTATTCCCAATTCACCTATCCTGCTGGGAATCTAACTTGACAAAAGCTCCAAGCAGGATGAAAGCTTTGCCAAAGGAATTAGAGTGGCAGCCTCAAAAGAGAACACAAGCAAGTTTAAAACAGTCCTCAAAGCAGCAGCAGAGGCTGTACCATAGCTCAGGCTGATGGTCACACACAGCTTCAGCCTTCCCACATTCCATGCAGGGCACCACAGACGTGAGGACAGACAGAGTCCCCCTGAGCAGACTTCCAGCTCTGAACTCGTGGCCCCCAAGCCACAGCTGAGTCAGGCCCTGGTGCTCCCCACCTGGTCCCACTTCCCCTGGCACAAGTGGTGCCACATCCCTGCCACTGTGGCAGCGGGGACAGGCAGGGGTGAAGAACATGGGCTGAACATGTTTGTTGTGGGGTTCCACCCCTCCTGCCTGCAGTGGCAGCAGTCTCCACAGCTTCTCCACCTGTCCCGTTGAGTCCCTTTCAGGCCACATACCTGCTACAGCTGCAGTCTGTTTCCCAGTTCTGGCTTAGGCTAAGGGCATCCAGAGGGTTTAGACTGTCACTTGTCACACACCCTAGGGCCAGGCTCTCAGTGCCTGGGGCAGTCAGTACCTCCACACCAGCCTCTCTGTCTCTGGGGGGTTACAGACACTGTGTCCACCCTGGGAGCCTCGGAGGGCCCCTGTCACACACCCACACTGCCCCTTCTCAGCCCTTGTCCCACTGTGGTCACCACCAGCATGAGGCAGGGGCACAGGGTGAGACTTTTTCAACCCTCCTGCCAAAGACTGGATTTTGGGCACTCCTACCCTCTCAGCCCTGGGACAGTGGGGAAAGCTGCAGTCGGGAAAAAGGGAGGGAGACTGGGGACAGCAGCTGCCAAGACACGGGGTGCACAGGGGACATCACATTTTAATCAGAGGGCAACGGGGTTAATGAGGGGAAACTGGGATCACAGAGGGACAGAGGACATCGTTCTGGTTATACCTGGTGTACAAACCATGGTTTTAACAGATGTTTGTTAAACAAGTCAGTTTTGTTTTTATTAAACCCAGCTTTGGTACAGGTCATTCCTGAGGTTCATTTACAAGGTTGTTTAAAACAAAGATAAACTGGGGCCTCTCCCTGTTCCTGTGTGAAGTTACTGGGGCACAGACATCACACTTTGTTTTTCCCCTTTCCTTTTTTTAAAGAAAAGTGTTTGTGTAAGGGGAAGTCAGTCTGTTACAAACACAGAACTTGCACCAGGAACACTGAGTCTCCAGCTTTAAACCATTTCTCCTCCATTAATAAATAACATTTAGTTGTGCTTTAACATGGCTCCCTTCTCACCCATCACATCCCAGCAGGACGAGCAGAGCGTGGGCTGGCCAGGCAGGGTTACCTGGCCCCAAAGCAGCAGATGGGAGGTGGGCAGGGAGCTCTGGGGAAGGGGTTACGGTGTGAGGCACCACGTGCAGCCCTCAGAAAACTAAAAGAGATGAAGGTCGGGGTGTTTTGGTTATAAAACCTGTAAGTATACAGAAGCAAGATGCACAGAAGAGTTATTGTTATGAAAGGTCAGAATCCAGCTGAAAGATTAGGGATGTCAGGTTAGGGACATCAGGTTCCCCAGTTACACCCCAAAACCTGAGGAGAGGACCTGCAGGACCCTGTTACAGCAGCAGCTCGAGCAGCAAAGCTGAAAGCTCCTCACAGTACCCCAGCTTTGTCCCTCACCTCTGGAGTCAGTCAGTGTTAACCCCCTTGGGCTAAGAGCCCCAAAATAAGCATTCTGGATTTAGTGCCAGCTGTGCAGCAGTGTGAATTAGCAGTTTACCTTTTGGCAAGTATCTTGGATTTCAACTTTACCAAGAAACCTGATTTAGCAAACTTTTCCCCATCAAAAGACACGGTGAATTTTAGTCCTTGCTACATATTCTCTTCTGTGCAATATATTGCAAGCTTAAAGGTGTAAGCACCAATTAATTTCTTCTGCATGAGATGTTTTGGCCTTAATAAATCTTCTAATTAACATATCTTCCTGTTGTTATGGAGTACGCACTGGGAAGACTAAAGAAGCTATAGAAAGAACAAAAGAGAATCAGTGTTTAAGTTTCAGTTATTTACATTAAGTAAAGACAACATGAAAGGTCAAAGCGGCAATCTATTGTACAGACATTTGAGTTTCACCCATTGCAACCTGGAGAAGCTCTCACAGCTGCCAACATGTTGTTTGGAACTGGCAATCAAAGGATTGATGTACAATTTTAATGAAAAGACTGCTAATGGAAATGAGAAAGGACTGCTGATGGAACACGAGAAATCCCAGGTGATGGAGACCTGCAGGAGCAGCCAACCAGCCCACACAGACAGAGCAGTGTCTTTGCAGGGTCCTTGCTCCATTCCACCCCTCACAGCTGCAGAATTCTCCAGAGGGAACAGCTGAGGACAAGGCTGGGCTTGTGGGGCTGTCTCCTGAAGGAAAGTGCCATCATGTCATGTCCCAGGGCCTTGGGAACTGCAAAGCACAGGCAGCACCCACCTCACTGCTTCCCTAACAAACCATGCATTTCTCCTCCTCCTCAGAGCATCTCTAGGAGCTCTGCACAAGTATTAATGAATGCTCTTAACACGGATCCTCTGGGAAGACACTTGCCAGTGCACATCATCTGAATCACCAGGTGGCCCACCTGTAAAAGCACCAGCTGCTCCACCACCTTCAGTTCCCTGAACTCTGAATGCACGTGCTGCTCTCTGGGCTCCCAGATTTGGCTTTAAAATGTATTGGGATGGAAAAGGAGGTATCAACTTGGTATCTACTGGTAATTCCCCACTAAAGCTTTTGCCTAAAAATTTTCCAGCTGCATATTCTTAAAGAGCTTGAAGAGGCAGCCAGGATCACCAGCCTGGTTTTGTTCTTCAAGCTGGGGTGCAGAAAAACCTCCCACCAGAAGCACTGCTACAGCAAACACTGTGCATCAGCCAAACTCCAGTTGGCAGTGTCTGAAGTGCAGCACTGATCTCAGTCCAATACCAAAGAAACCCCAGAAGGACCCAAAGCTGAGTGAATAGAACTTGGTACGTAGCAATGGCCCAGAACAAACCTGAGAACAAACCTTTGGGTAAAGCTTCAGCAGCTCTCTGACAGCAGAGCACCAAACTAAAGCTGTGCTTTACTTTGACCCAAGTGTATACTGTCCTTCTCCAGACAAGGAACACAGCTTTGCAGGCACCACCAGGAAACCTCTCCACCTCTGCTCCATTCTCACCCTACCTTTAAATCACTTCTTTGGGCACCAGGAAATCAGCAAAGCTGCTGGTACATCCCCTGCTCAGTCACCAGATCTCAAAGGAGATGTACCAACAAGCCTGAAAGCTCCTTCTGCCCAAACACTGATAGCTTTTGGATTAATACCTAAGAATTTCTCCCCAGATTACATAGAAAGTACATTTCTGCATACTCTATAATTACCTAGTTGTTAATTAATTAGCTAATTATATTCTTGAATGTCCCAAATAGTCATAAGACAGCCTGTGAGTGGTAAGCTTGCAATCATAATACACTATTGTTGTGACAGATAACACAGAAAATAACTAGATTGCACAGAAAATGCACCACTAAATAAACGACACCACAAAAACTCAAAATACATGTGAGATTTAATAAAAGAAAAAAAGTACAAAGTGAGTGGAAAGAAAAGAAAGAAAAAAAACCAAAACAAACCATGAACCCCAACATGCTGGGAATGACAAAGCAAAGGGATGCAGCAGGTCCCAGAGGGCTCCAAACCACCCCCTCCACACCCCTGGGCACAACCCCCAGAGACCCACAAAACACAGTTTAATTTAGAAAGCAGACAACATACAGGACGGCAAACATTTAAATGATAAAAAAATGGACAGTTTTTCCCATTAATACCAATCTTTTACAGATAAATATATAAAACAGCTGAAAGATGTGTAACTGGATGGTTTCAATAATTTCTGAAGGGTATTTCTTTCACTTTTTCTAGCCTACAAGATTTTAAGTCTTCAGACTGGGTGAGATCAGCATCACAATGTATTTGTAATTTGTTAAATAAAAGCAAGACACAGAACTACCTACCACAATACTTAAATATTGTCTCAGCCAAAAGGAAAAAACAAGTACTTGGGAAAAAAATATGACTGAGTCCACTTGGGGAGATTATGATGTTGAAGAAGCAACTGCAAGGACAAAGGATGTCTGTGACAAAGTCAAAGTAATATAATAATCATCATCATGAAAATATTGTTACATACATTCTGAATGTCTTCTTCAGAAAATGTTGTAAATTTCTCCACAAAGCCCATGGATTTGAAGATTTTTTTTTCTATTTGTTATAATAATATTTTTAACTACCTGTCATTCTAGGAAAAAATAATTAATCTCTGATGAGCCAGGGCAGAGAGAAATTGTTTGCATAGATGTTGCTGGCTGCAGCACGAGATCAGGAGAGAACTGCTGCCTGGGAACACAGGCGAGGCAGCTGGGAGCACCCCAGTACCACCAGTCACTGTCTCATCCCAGCACTGGCCTTGGGAAGCAAAACAATGAACCACAGAGCATGGCCTGCTCAGGCAATTAGTGCCAAACCACAGTTTCTCCCATTAGCAAAAGATCAATAAAAAATAATCTGCTACATGATTGGTCTGTAGTCAGAGGTGAGGTGGAATTGTCCTGCATATAACAGAAGGTTGGGTTCCTTGTATGTGTTTGAGAAAACCACACTAACCCTCCTAACATCTGATAGTTACTCTTTAAAATACATCTAACCTGGAGGCACAGCCTTAAAAATTAAATGTCCAGCTTTCAGCAGACTCCCAACAAGTGCAGAATTTTTATTCTTTCAACAAAAGCCTGCTCTAAAAGGTACCAGTGAGATCTTTGTGAGGTTCTTCTACAAGCATGAAGCAGCACTGTCAGTATACCCACAGAAAAGGCCAATGTCCATTGGAAAATAGTTTAATACCTGAGCATGTATTTAGAAAGGGAAAAAAAAAGCTGCATTAATGGAATATGACAGTTAAAGAACCTCAGAATCCAGCAAAATGCTGCCCTGTGACAGCTCAGACCCAGGCCCTGCCTCTCCTTCTGCACGGCACATCAGGAATTTGCTGACAGCTTAAAACAAGTCTTTAACAAAAAACATATCAGAAAAATCCTGTAACATTAATAACTAAATAAAACCACACACACTCACAACTAACACTTAGCCAGCCAGTGTTTTTATAAACTCTAAAGACACTATGTGAGGGTTAATATATTTCCTTTCATCTAGCCTGGGATCTGATGGATGGATGGATGGAATTGGGTCCAACTGTTTTTCCATGACAACACAGCTAGTAACTCTCTGTTCAGCTATTGCCCTGCCTATTCACAAAATGGTTTGAGTGGAAAAAATTAATATTGATCCCAATTATTCCTCTAAGCTCAGTTGCCCAGGAAAACCAGGCTGTGATTTCTAGGCATGAGGAGTTGTCAAAAGAAGCACCTTCTAAGAGGGACAGAGCCTGTCAGCATAAATACAGTGCACAGCTCAGGAGCAGGGGATTCTCCTTATTAGGCACATATTAGGTTTAAGGTTAAAAAGTAAAAGTAAAGATGTTGGCTTAAATAGTTTCCACAACAGTAAATACATTGGTAAGTGACAACTGAAATGTTACACAAATCCTGTAGTTCCACTTTGTACAACAAACTCTTATGAATAATCTCTCTATAAATGTTCTACTTTAGCAGTAAAGAAAATTCAAAACATTGTCCCATAAATTTTATTAACCACTCTCTCTCTCCTTATATATATATATATATATATAATTATAAATGATGTAGATAGTGTTTAGAGTAATTCAGGAATTAATGCAGAATTACTGGAATGAGGGTTACTCTGACTAAGATTCCTGCAGAAAGCCTAAATGCTGTGTTTTTCCACCCATTCTAAAAACTATTTGAGAATTTTGTTAGAAAAACAAACATTTTAGCATTCTTCAGACCACTCCTCTCACTGTGCATGTACAGGGGAGGTCAATGAGCCTCCAGCAGTTACCTTGGCCAATTAAAAAAAAATGCAGAAAGCAATTATTTAGCTGGTGGTAAGACGAGTTCAGTCAGGTCACTTCACACACGGCTGCTCAGTCACTGGGTTTAGAACAAAACATCTTACTTGAGGGATTAGTTGGCTTTGTTTAACAAAATGTACGTGTAAGGTTACTTCCTGCAAACCTCCTGACAATTCTGAAAAGAAAACAGCAGGTCGGGACACTGCAACCAGCGGAGATGCTCATTCTCTGTCACTTTGGTCCACTCACACAATGTTATGAGAAGGGTCACTCAGGGTGGGAAACTCAAGCAACTTAACACATGAAAGCACCAAGTCCACTCTTGGCCTGAAAGTCTGTGTGTGATTAACTGAAAGAAACAAAACATAAAAAAGCATGAATTACAGTTATGAAAATCAAACAAAATCAAACAAAAGCGAAGTGTAGTGAAGTATGTTAAAACAAAAAAGGAGGAGGAGGAGGAGGACAAACACTGCTGGGGCAGCTGAAGGCTTCAGGTGAGAGCAGCCTGGCACAACCTGCTCAGCACCACAAACATTCTTCTCTTTCCCCCAACTTCTACAATTTTTCTATCACAGTTTTTTACTTATTAAAGCTACCAAGAACACTGCCTTGAACCAGGAGATGATAAAGAGTTCAACTACCTCTCCTAAATATTTCGCTTGAGCAGAAATCCCAAAACCCCGTATTTTGAGCTATCTCACAGGTTTGAAAAGAAAAAAACCAAGAAGTACCCCAATCCAAAGCCATCCTGGTGCACCTCCCCTGTTTGTGCCCCAGAGCCAGAGCCCCCAGCCCCAGCACCACGGGGTCCCCAGTGTGCAGAGCCCAGGCTGTGGGTGCCCCTCGGATCTCTGCGTGCCACCGAGCTGCCTCCCAGCCCTGCTCCTGAGCACGGCTCGTTTCTGCTGCTACCCTGAAGAGGAATGATCCAGACTCACAGCTGGAGGTGGGCTAAACCCAGCAAAGTGCAGAAAAACCTCTTCTGTTGCAGCCAGAAGGAGAGAGGGGAAGCTGCAGCATTTCTTGGCCCATGCTCACACTCCTTGCCTGCTGCTGGCATCACTTGCACAAGTTACCACTGTGCTCACCTTCCCCAGAGCAGTCCTGGGTCCAAGAAAGCCCTAGGATTCAGCTCCTAATTGAGATCAAACCCTATTTTCAGCACAGAATTTTACAAACCATCTATACTGTGTGTGAGGTGGGCCACACCCAGAGCACGTCAGCAGAAGAGAGGCTTTGGTTTTAGCACCAGCACACTTACATTCCAACAAAACACTCCAGTAATCTACCCCGTTATCTTCCACAGGAAGAAACAAATTGCTAGGATGTCAGTACACAGAATGAGCTCCTCTGGTGCTGCAGCTCACAGCAGGGAATGACAGACCACAAGATCTCATCAGCAGTGAGAAGCTGAATGCTGTGCTGTCAAGCACAAACTTGGGTACTGCTACTCTTCGTGGTCCTTTTTTTCTTGCCATCATTAAGAGGCTCAGAAAACCTTGCCACCAGCCTGCTCTGGGTTTGACAGAATGCAGTTCTGAGTCCTGAGCTCCTTCATGCAATAGGAAGTAACAAAAAAATGCTGCAATAGCAGAATTACCAGTTTGCATGATAGTGCTCCTTATTTTGCTCCCTAGCCAGTGTTAATTAGAGACTGGCTTGAATTGGAAGCAGGATAACCCCCCCAACACCTTTTCTTTTTAAACTCGTTTGTCCCATTCCTGGTCTATCACTACACAATCAGGTGGCTGGAACACCAATATTTACATACCCCTGTTCCTGCTGGCTTCAGCAACGTCAATTAATGTGCAGCAAGCTAAGATAAGAACTCTGCCTTTAGGGGAAAAGAATTTCTTGTAATCAGAACTGTGCCTTGGAGCCCCATTTCACAACCTGAGCTGGCTGCACAGAGGCAAGAGTGAACCCCCTGGCACCATAATTCGTTAGAGAAAGGCCCCAAATTGCAAATCCCTCCCACCTGCAGCTGCCCAGGCTTCTCTGGGCAGTGCTTGGGCACAGAGGGGCTCATCCCTCCTCTGCTTTCAGCAAAGAATCAGAAGGATGGGAGTTAGGATTCCAAAATCCGCTTTTCTCTGTGTGATGTTTAAACAACCGAGCAAACATTAAAGCATCTGAGCAGACCCCCAGCTTTCCAGTGGCAGAGGAGGAAGACTCCAGTTCAGACACTTACTTTTTCTTGTCTTTGTCCTTCTTCAGCGGCTGCTGTGAGGTAGCCTGCAAGGATTGGGACTGCAAGGTTTCCACTGCCACTTTCCGCCTGTTGAAGGCGTTCATCTCGTCCTCCAGTTCCTTCCTCTTCTCCTCCACCTTCCTTTTCTCTTCCTGGTGTATTCTTTTCAAGTGCTCAAACTTCTCATGCAGCTGGCAGGAGACAGACCCTCTGAGCACGGCATCCAGCTCGTTTTGGCTGTGCTAACCCTGCCCCAGGAGCCCTGCCACACCTCCCACACAAATCCCCACCACAGGGACTTGGCAGAACACAGCACCCAGTGCCACCAAAAGCAGGGAAGTCACAATAAATTCAGCTCTGCCTGACACCACACAGCAAACCAGAGGCAGCACGAACCCTGGAGATGAGCACAGGGGATTTTGGCTCTGCACAGGGGCTGGGGGCATTGCAGGATCTTTTGTTCCTCACTAGTTCTGAGGATGGCCCATTTAATTCCTCCCCAGTCACAGCTGCTTCCTGAGGCCTCACACTGGGGTCTCCACTAGACTCACTTTGACTGGGGACCCCTGCCCAGCTGCCCCCTTTTCTCTGCTGTCCAGGGAGCCACAAGAGGGAAATCTCTGTGCCAGGGATGCTCACCTAAACTTCCTGCCACTGGCTTTCACTCCCCAGGCAGCAGCTGTGTTTCTACGTGGCACAGCACAGGGAGGGCTAGTTTCTGAGGCACCTAAAGCAGTGATGTGTTTGTGCTTTGGCTGGTGAGGTTTGCTGGAATGTGCTTTCCAGGATTCATGCATTGCCCAGACCCAGATTCCCTGCTGGCTGCAGCTTGGGTTCCTTGCAAATTTTTGGCACACCCACCTCTCTCTCCTTCTCCTTCAGCTCTGCCTCTGTCTCCTTGACTTTGTTAACAAACATTTGTCTCATTTCTTCCTCTTTCCTCTGGAGCTCACCCAAGAACTCTTTCCTCTTGGTCTCGTATGTTTCTTGGAGGCTGGGGAAGAAAGCAAATGAAATGCAGACTCTCTGGATACTGATGAGTTAGTGATGGGGAAATGCATGCCTGTCTGTGCTGTTGGAAAAACAGGCAGGGACGGGAAGGGAAGATCCAAATCAGCTGCAAAGCTCAAACCCAGCACTGGCATTTTCCAGCCTGGCACTGTAGATTTACCTACAAACCTCCCGCTTTTTGGGGCTGTCAGTACCAAAGCCTTGCTCTAAACTGATGCTAGATGTGAAAGCCACTCACCTGAAGGGCTGGTTGTCTGGGTCTGTGTCCTTGAAACCCATCTCCTCCAGCTTGCACCTCCGGTAGAGCTCGTAGTGGCGGGTGTGGGTCTGCTCGCGCAGATCCTCCATGTTCACCCGGATCAGCATCTCCCGCAGCTTCACAAAGTCACAGTGACTCTCATTCTCCACTGACAGGAGGGAAGGGACAAGTCAGCAAACTGCAGGTGTGGTGGGGGGACACAAGGGCACACGTGACTGGCTCCAGATCCCCCCATCCTGAGGAGCCTGCTGTCCTGCTCAGGGCACAACACAAGCCCCTGGATGCAGGGATTCCTGCTGAGCCTCCTCCCTGCTGCAGGAGTGGCAATTCAAAGGAAGGGCTAGCCAGCCCACAAGGGCTGCAGGGGACACGCCTGCACTGCTTGTCACAGGGCAGAGCTGGGAGGGTCTGGGGTGGCCTTGGGCCCTCACCTTGCACCACTCCCCAGGGGTACTGCCGAGCTCGCACCAGCTTGTTCCCAACCTTCACCTCCTCCGTGCTGCCGACCACAGCAAAGGGCAGATGAGCCTGAAACACAGCCAAGGGCAGGGACTCAGTGCAGGGGGCAGCCCCCAGAGATCAGCCTGGCCCTCAGCTCCCCCTCACCCAGGCACAGCAGCTGCTTCCCTGAGCCCCTTCTCTGAACCTCCCGATTTCTGACACTGGCAGCAATCTCTGCTACAAACTGGGATTTTACCACAGATGGGTGCCAGGCCACAGCAGGGCTTACCAGCAACGCTGGGCTGCACCAGCTGGGGAACACTGCAGGAACACCATGGTCATTAGTGCTCCACTCCATCCCTCTGCCAGGCTGAGGAGTGGGACACGGGCAGGGACAGCCCCTGGCACAGCAGGCAGCGTGTGGGCACTGCAAGGGACACGTGCAGGACACAGCATGTCCCCACTGCCCGCCAAGCCTGCAAGGCAGCAGGCACAGGGAGGAAACACGACACCCAGCTCGGGACTGGGTGCTTCAGCAGGGTGAGGCTGACAAAATCCTTCACGTTTAAAAAGAAATGGATCCAGAAGGGTGGAACTCATAGAGAAGTGGCCAAATATATTTTCATTGGAAGAAGGAGGGGGAAAGAAAAAAAGCCAAACAAGCATGACTCCTGTTTTTCTCCCCAGTACTCACAGCTTGCAATTATTTAAGTGAGAGTGAATCCTCCACAGTTTTAATGATTTCAGCGAAAAGGAACTATTAGAGTGAAAACATGTATCTAGTCCACCCAGAAACCAACTGGTGACTGTTTTTTTAAAAAAGATGGCAGGGGGAAGAGTGAAAGAAAAGACCAAGCATTTAATCAGAAACAGCTATGCAGGAAAACAGTCATTTTGATGAAAAAGCTACTTTTGATTTATAAAATGAATATGGAAACATTTCAGTTCTTTCTACTGCCATTGCTGCACTCTGATTTCGGAGACAAAAAGCTTAAAAGTGTTTTTTCATGTGCTTCAGTCAGGTCTGAATTTGATCTCTGAACTTCAAAAAAGACAAAATGGAGATTAAAGATTTTTCTTCTTTACTTTAAATTGGGTTTTCTCTGGTCAGCCTCCTTAAGTCACAAGACTAATGTAAATCTTAACTGTCACATTTTATTCAAAGTTCCTTTTTCCTCAAACACAAAGTAGCCAAAGAACAGACAGAATTAATTTTGAGGAAAGTATTTTTCAAAAATTAAATACAATAAATTCTAGAGCTAAGTTTCTTCAGAGAGCCCCCAGATTAAACATGAGCCACATTTTAATTAATTCTGTATGCAACACCCTTTGGCATCTGTGAGACCCACAGCTCAGCTTTCCAACAGATTCAGTGTCTGGACATTCCCAATTAAACTTGCCCTTCAGACGTGTTTTTGTGCAGCAATTTAATTGGTCACAGCCTTGGCAGGGATGGGAGGGGCAGCGTTACCCACATTCATCACAGAGTTGATCTCAGCCACTGCCTCGTCGTCCGTGGGGAACTGGTAGATCTGCACCCCATTGCTGACCAGCTCGCTCATGATCTTGATCTTGAACTTGTGCAGCTCGCTCTTGGAGATGGTGTCTGCTTTGGCAATGATGGGGATGATGTTCACCTGGAGCACAGGGGAGCAAGGCAGGACAAACACCCCACGGGTGAGCAGCTGTGTGGGGTGACCCAGATCCTGCCCCACTGGCTGTTGGACATCTCCCAAAATCACCCTGGAGCTCTGCTCACACAGGAGCTGCAGCCCAGCTCAGCTGAACACTAGAGGGAAGAGTTCTCCAGGACTCACTTGGTACAAGACTTAGATAAACCACACACTGTTATTATGATATTTTTATGAAAAAACCCTTTAAGATTTTTCTTTTGAGAAGCTGAGAAGCTTTAGAAAATAAATGTAAACAATAATTAATTGATGTCTTGGAATATGATAAGTGCATCTTTGATTAGTTCCATGTGAATTGTTTTTACTTAATGACCAATCCCAGTCCAGCTGTCTCAGGACTCTAGTCTGTCATGAGTTTTTATTATTCATTCCTTTCCTAACCTTCTAATGTATTCTTTTCTCTATATAGTTTAGTATAGCTTTAATATAAAACTTTTTAATATAATATAATAATATAATAAATCAACCTTCTAAGAAATATAATCAAATTCATCTCTTTGCTCATTCTAAAACCTGCAAACACATCAACACCACACCCTGCAGGAAGCACAGAAGGAGCAAAGCAAAGCCCTGCTCTCCCTGTTTTGTTACACACCAGGAGGGAGGCAGACACGGTGTAGCTGTCACATGCCAGCTGTCACCATCCACGCTGCCTGTGCTGGCAGCATGTTCTACAAGACAAGCACAAGGGTGAAACGCACACTGAGCTGATGTGAGACCTTCCCATGCTCGAGGGCAGAGAGCAGGGACTCCTCAGACACTCTGACAGCAGCTGATGACCCTCCCCAAGGACTCCGTGAGCCTCTTGGTGAGGATGACAACTTGGCTGTGCCACGTGGATTAGATGGAGACAGGGGCAGGGTGCCACACAGCAGATATATTCATTTCATGCTGCTCTTGCTCAGCTTTGGTTTCACATCAGCCAGCAGTCACTGTACCCCACACAACTTCATCCACCTGGGCTCCAAAGCCACCCACCAGCTGCACAGTGGTGTCTCCCTGTGCCCAGCACCCACAAGATCAAAAGCAAACACGGGCCACATCCCACATCCATCAGGGGTGATGGGGTTCATTATGGCCTCTTGCTTAAGAGAGCAACACTGAGGCTGGATCTGTCACAGGAACCTGTGCTAGATAACACTGCTGTGCCCAGAAAAGCCACGTGTGGTACTGAAACCACTGCTTAAACAAACAGCAGCACTCATCTGTCTGAACAGCAGCCAAACTCACAGCAGCGAAACATGAGCATTTAGACAAATAAGGGGGAAGTCTGATTTACCATCTAACATTTCCTCACAGCCAACATTTTTTGTCCTACAGAGCTGAAATTCACAGCAACCAGTTGCTCTGCAGTGGGTACCTATTAAAATAAATGGCCTTGCTTTCCCAGCACAAGTTCTTCATAGGTCAGTGTTTTTTCCACACTTCTTGGGTTCTCCCCACACCATCACCCCCCCTCCCTGTCTCTGTTTAGTGGTTTAGCACTCACTAAACACAAAAGCATTTACTTGCTCTGAATTAAAACAGTCTAAATTTACTCATTGCAAATGCATCTGAGAGAATAAATTCCTCTTTTTCTCAGCCACTGACCTGGACTCTTTTCCCAAAGGCCACAGAACGAGGCCTGCTGCTCCCTCCACTGCTCAGCAGGTCCATGCCCTCATTGCAAAGGCAAAAGGGCCATGACCACAGCTGGGTGTCTCCCTGACCTGCCAAGACCTGAGGAGGCTTGGATTCACCATCTCCCACAGAAAAAGGGTCAGCTCAGGGCTCACATCCCTTTTCAATCAGCCCAAGCAACTTCACCTTCTTTTTCCAAGGGACTCAGTCCAGCCCTGCTGGCAGCAGTGCAGGGGTGCAGAGCCTGGAGCAGCTTTCTAGCAGCAGAGGAGACAGGCTCTGCTCTGTGGTCACCACTGTGGTCTCAGCACCACTCAAATCACAGACCAAGGCTGGCTGGAGTGTCCTCAGCCAGATTTCTTGTCTTTTGAAAAGGCAACTCAGTGAACACCTGCTGACACCGAGTTCACAGCACAAAGGGGTTTTACAAGTTGTGTTTCCAACAATCAACAGCCACATCAACACTGGGGAGGCATGGAGATGGCATTTGGGTGTGTCCTAAGTCTAGAATGGGTTCATACCTTCACAACACAGAAGGGATGGAACAAGGGATAGAAGTTTGGAAAGAAGAAACCAATGAGCCCTGAACTGCTTGTCTGACCCTACTCCCCACATCACCCTCCCCACACCCACCTCCATGCCAAGGCCAAGCCTTGGCACAGAGATTAGTGACAAACTGATATTTATCTAGCTAGAGAAGGAAAGCCACCTCTTCTGAGCAGGTTTCAAAACTCAAATAAAAGGAAGGAATGCCAGAACTACATGAGGGTTCTCTGGCCACACAAATAATGTTGGTCTTGGGTTGAAGGCAAAATCCTAGAGCAACATTCTTTCATCAATGATGGAAGAGCAACACTCTCTATTTAAATATCTAGTCATATAATCATGCAGTTAACTACTGGCAGGTGACCCCACTGAATGTGACAGGGGTGCAGTGTGCCCTTGCCTGTCAGTCCATGGGCTGGAGGCTTTTGCTGGAGCTGGAATTATGACCAGAGGAAGTCTGTGCTTCAGACAGGACAGGGAGCTCCCATGCACACAGACAAAAATTAACCTCCTTCTCAAGTCTTTCTGACCAGAGTTGCTTCTCATCTCCAAAAATAAAACTTACAAGAACTTGTCATTTGGTAGAAAATAATTCTGCTGATGCAATAAGACTGTAGGCACTTCTGCCCTGTGAAACACAGCTGAATTTTTCCCCATCTCCAGACTGTTCCTGAATGCAAGCTGCAGTGAAGCCAGCAGGCAAATCCTACTTTGGAAGCCAAAGAGCTGAGGCACAGGCTGCCTGAAGCATCCCCACCTGCCCAGGATGTGTCATCTCTCAGAGGGCACAGCTCAAACAGCACATGGTGACTGAAAACCATCCAGGACAAGCAGCGAGCACAGGACCTTATGGCTGCACACACTGCACCACCATTTCCCCTGGCAGGGCTGGGTTTTAAATCAATAAATCACCTTCTCATCTGATACAAATGCGCTACGATTTATCTCCTCCTTTTCCCAGGCTAAACCCAGGGGAAAGTCTACATCTGTCAGGCCCTATGTGCTTCCCACTAGCAGCCAGCCAAATTCCATCTACCTACAACCACTTCTGAAGATGCTTCTGCTCTCTGGCTGTAACCAAATAGCCCAGATAACAGCTGGCCATGAGCTCAGCCAAACAGATATTGTCTTACAGTACAATGGAAGATTTTGTTTACAAAGCTTTACCCAGAAGGGATTTCGTAGACTTTACACTAAAAGCAAGACTGGTTATTGAAATTGTCACAGAGAGTCAAAAGCCTGCCCAGGACCACACATCATGTCACTTGTGGGCTAAAGCAAAGGTGAAACTGAGCCACAGTCCCACAAACTCCCTGTTAAACCAGTCCCAGAGGCTGAGCAGCAGAGCACAGAGCAAAGCTTTGCCTCTGATGTACCTTCCACCTCCACAGGCTCCATTCAGCTGTAAAACAAGGGCCCCACAAAGCTCTCAAGAAGAATGGCAGGCTCAGGTGTGCTCACACAGCAGCAGACAGGGGCCAGGGCACATCAGCTCTGCTCAGAGACCACCAGGGCTCCCACTGAGAGGGCAGAACTGCCTGGGCTTTGCTGACACCCCCATCCACCCTGCCCCCAGCACAAATGGTTCATCTGCACTGGGAAAGGGGCACAGCACTGCCTGCACAAACCCTCAGGGAGTGCCTGGGAAGCACTCCCGTGTCCTGGGATGACACCAGTGCAGAAATGCAACATAAATCCCTGATGCCCAGAAAATATCAATGGGCTCCACTTACTTATTCATTTCCATGTGCCCACTTGTGTGAGGCCACCACAGCATGAAATCCAGGATGTTCTCATGCTGTGGCAAGAAGGGAGATGAGAACAAAGGCGTAAAATGACTCCAGAGAGGGCTATTAAAGTGGAAGTTTGGAAATATAAAAAGTTTGCCTGAGCACAAAGTTTTCATCTGTGCACAAGCACAAAGGATTTATTTTGGTACTACCAAAGGACCACATTAAAGGCAACCACAGGGAGATGGGAAAAGTAGGGAATGAGAAGGAAAGGAGAGAAATGCTTTGTGGGACTACCAGCATCAAGGGCAATAGTGCAAAAGCTTTCCTCCAAAAATATTTCTGGGAATATGTAATGCTGGCACTGTACCAAGAGACAAAAGTTTATTAAGGGAAAGTTTTTGGATTCCTGATGAAGTCAGTGTAACAGCCAAAGCTACAAACAGCCCACTGCAACAGGAAGCCAGTGTCTGGCCTGGACTGGGGCCAAGGGAAAGCAGGCCAGGAGCCCTCGGTGGCAAGGGCAAGCAGGGACTGCACAGGGAACTCAACCCAGCAGGAAAGCCCAACAGGGCTGCACGTGAACAGCCAGAGAGGAGAGTGCTCCCTCAGTGTAATGCAGGGGATCCCCAGGTCCTGCAGGGCCTCACCTGCCATGTCTGTCCCTCTGCAGGCTGAACAGCACCTGCCACCTGAAAGGAACCACCCTGCTGCTAAAACAATACTCTGAAAGACAGGAAATCATTGAGAAGAAAAGAAAAGATTCTGCTGCCACTAGTGACCTTTGAAGCCTCCTGCAGCTCCCTGGAAGCCAGCTGGAACACCCAAAACTATGTCTGAAACTTGCTCCCAGCTGAAGAAACATAAGCAAGCAGCTGGTTAGGTAACACCCTGCCCCCTAAGGCAGAATAGCTTATGCACAAAGAAACAACCCCAGCAGACCCTCTCATCACCCACTGCTAGGATTCCTATGGCATTGGGAATTCCTCACCATATCTACACTCTAAGAAGATACTGTGATCTCCTACCCAGATCACTTGGCAGTGCCAGCTCACACACTCCCTGTGCAGCAGCACACACAGCCAATGCTTCTCTCAGCCTTGTCTCCTCGGCACTGACCACCACCTTAGGACAATTACAGTTTTGGGACAGCCCCTCTGTGCCTGCTGACAGGTCAGGGCAGCAAAGGGGACTCCACAATTTAACTGCTGAAGCTGGAAGGCATCCTCACCTGCACACCCAACAGAGCTGCAGCTGATGGCTTTGATAAATATCAGCTAATCTGGGTAAGACTCTTACAGTAGAGTTACTCTGGAATTTACACAACCAACAGGACAAGAGGCTTTCCCTGACATTCTTCAGGAAAGTCAGTGAGAAAACAAGCACTGAAAACACCCCCAGGCCAGACAAAGCTTTACCAGAGTCCTAAGAATGGCTCAGCTGCCATGCAGGAAGGAGTGCAGCACTTGCACAGGAGGAACAAAACCTTCCACAGGACAATCAGCACCAACAGAAGCATTCCAGGAAGAGGGACCGTAGTCTCCAGGCTCCTACCTTGCTATCCAGCTTCTTCATTGTCACCAGGTCCAAGGACTTGAGCGAGTGGCCGGTGGGGGTGATGAAGTAGAGGCAGACGTGGATCCTCGTGTCGTGGTAGTTGAAGAGAGACCGGCGGATTTTCAGCTCTTCTTGCAAATAGTTCTCAAACTGCGTATCAATGTACTCTACGATTGGCCTGTAACTAAAACCATCCCATTAGCAAACCAGCCACTGCAGCACAAATCTAAGTCTAAAGGCTGAAGGAATTCTCACAGACGTTCCACGATATCACTTAAAAACAAGTTATAAGACTCAAATAATTCAGCTTTGCAATGGGAAAAGTGTGGTGTTTACACACAGACATTATAATTCAAAGGAGATTCTTGAGGCTGCACTGCAAAGCCTAAGGACAGTGGAGCACAGAAAGATGACTACTGCACCATATCAAACTCTGCCCAGATTTCAGGGCTCAGCCATCTTTCTGCAGCAATGCAACATGACCAAGGAGACACCTTGGAATCCCAGAAAGCCTTTACCTGGGGCTTGAACAAGATGTCTGTGTAGTTAAATGAGACAAGTTCAGAACAGATAATTCCTGACCCTGCTTTAAGGACAGCTGGCTAATAGCTCATACTCCTGGAGGACAGCAATCTCTGCTGCAAAGACCTCCTGTGACCTCTCTTTTTGCTGCTCACCCTCTACCCTTTGTCCCCAGAGCCACTCATGCAGCGACTCCTTTACCAGAGCCACAGACACTCCTGCAGCGCTGCAAGGGGAACCGCAGGCAGCTGATGCCTAAGCACGAGGCAGAAACGCCGAGCAGATGGCACAAGACCTGCCTTTCGTCCTTATTTATCTGATCCCCAAATCCAACTGCATCCACGATGGTCAGCTTCAGGTGCACGTTGCTCTCCTGCAGGTCGTAGGTGCGCGGCCGCAAGCGAACGGCGCTCTCGTAGTGACTGGCCTCCTCCGTCTCAAAGGTGGTGTTGAAGAGGGTGTTCATCAGCGTGGACTTCCCAATGCCAGTCTCACCTGGGGAGGACAAACCAGCAGCTCACTGCAGCGTGAATTTGCCACAGGTACTTCAAAGCACGTTAGAGAATAATTAATAATTAATTAGAGAACTGGATGGCACTGTGGAAGGTCGCCACCTTTGCTCGTGGACAGACATGTAATTGTCACACAGGTGTCACACAGACAGGTGTCACACAAATCACAGCAGCACACTGTTCTCCTCTCCATGACCCCTGACTTTGCCTGGGATTCTGCACTAGAGAAGCTGTGGAGAGGACAATTTTAGTAGCTGTTGAAGGACACTTGGGATGCATCACAAAAAAACTCTATCCAGAATATTTGGCTGACAAGCTGTTTGTGAGCCAGAAAGGCTTTGAACTGCTATTCCTGGTAATGAAACAAGACTGATATTTTCCAGTTTGGCCTAGAAGGAGCCTCATTTAAACTCTTTATTCATGACACACAGCCCTATTGGTCATGGGGGTGAAGAGAGGCAAAATCTAAGGAAATAACCTTCACTGCACAGTCTATAGAAAGCTGTAGGAGCTGCTGCATTTCTGCTGGTCTAGCAGGTTACCATACTTCAGACCCCATACACCATAAAAGAACCAGCCAAAAAAGAAATTATGTTCATCTCATCACTGAAAGGAATTGGTCTCTAGTACTCCAGCAAGTATTGCCTGCTAGATCACATCAATATCAAAATTAAAAGCCAAGAATATGATGAGATTATTTTAAAGTCAGTAAGGAACAGTCCCCTTCCCTTTCTAAGCACAGAGATGACCATGCTTCACCTGGAAAGCACTGACTAGGCACAGCTCAGACACAAACCTCTTGTGCCCAGATTTGGGGGGCAGGCTCACACTCAGAAATAACCAAGTTACCAACAGCAGCTCTCACATAACCCATGGTGCATCTGACTGTATCTACCTAGACATCATACCCAGCAAAAGCTGCTCATGCAGCCACCCCAGTCAGCATATGGAAACACTTAACTTGCTATATACAGCCTTCCTTTGATCCCTCCTATTGCAAAGCTATTGCAGCAGAGATGATGAGCAATAACCCACTGATTACAGAAATTCTCCTGTCTTGACTCAATGTGTTTTTTAAGAGTTTGGCATTTCTGACTTGCTGCAGTCACTGCCAAGGCTTGTGGCATAGCAGGACACTCAGCAAATGCTGGTCCCAGCCTCCCCCATGCCTGTTTGCAAGGACTGTGCTCACCCACACAGAGGATGTTGAAGCTGAAGCCTTGTGTGACAGACTTGCTGACCAGCTGATCCGGGAGGCTGTCGAAGCCCACATGGCCCCCCAGGGAAAGGTTCCTCTTCTCTTCATTCTGCCAGGGAGAAGAAGCCAGATTAGCAAACTGCACTGAGATGGCAAATGAGGCTGATGAGACCAAGATCACCCACCCTCCTGGGCACTGCAAAGCCCAGCGGTGCCCTCAAGGGCTTGTGCTTGGCACACCACAGCACAAACCCCCCAACAGCCACCAACAACAGGAAAGAGGGTGTGAAATACTGATCTTCTGGGGGGCTGGGAGAACCAGGCTACCAGGCTCCAAAGTAAAGAAAATATTAGTGTGAGCTTCAACTACTGCAGCTGGGAGAGATTACTGAAAGTAAACCTACCATGGTGTGTTTTAGCACTCATTTCTCTTCGACTTCTTTTTGTACTTTATTGTCTCAAATCCTCCAGCACTGAATTCAGCTTGACAGACTGTGCATTTTCCCTGAGCACTTGTCTTTGCCCCTTTGCTGTGGCCACAAGCAGCGAGGTTTGCTCGCTCAGGCACTGGGTGTGCCAGTGGCTCGGGCAGGGCAGGGAACCCTCCTGCTTCACCATCTGTGACCACACAGTTTCCACTGTTCCTCTGCTGTTCCTGTTCCTGCCTCCCCCGTGTGCACTTTGCTCTCCCTTCTGTTCCCTCCCTCCCCCACAGAAGCTGATCACCTGTAGAGGCTTTGCTTAGGAACTAAGACAACAAAATCCGAGAGACAGCAGCTCTACGACCTGTGCTGTACAGAAAGGTAAGGCAGAGCAGCTAGAAAGTCCAGCAAAGAGGAGCTGACAGAAGGATAATTTCTCTTTCTAGTGGCTAAAACCAGGAAAGTTTGGAATTTCAACAGATTCACACCTCTCTGCACAACTAAGAAATGATGTCTGAACCCAGGGACAGACCAGTCCATAGAGCCCCTCTGGCACTCTTATTCACCCATGGAAAAGCAAGGAGACAGGACTTCAGAGAATGAATTGTGATTAATTCACCCCCACAATTTCTTTGGCAATTGATTGTTTTTCTTAATCACCAGCACATACAGAAGATGGGAATGGAAAAAAAATGTCTGCCCTTGGTTTGGCTCTGGTTCTTCTGTCTGTTCCTGACAACTGGAATTTAATGTCCCAGCACTAAGACTGAGAGACAAGAGCATCCCCGAGAAGAGCCTAAGCTGCCTGTCAGACTTAAATGAAGTCAAGAGGAAAATAAATGATGTGATAAGCCTTGTGTACTGCTCTGTGCCTGCAGTAAGGTTGCTAAACAAAACACAAACCTTTGTTCAACTGCATCTTGAGTCAAAGCCCCCTTCAGCTCTGCCTTTGGTAGAACAAATATTCTCAGTCTTGTAAAATAAATAATTTAAATCACAAGAACAACCTGCAAACAGCTGAAACAACTTCCATGCCTCACACACAAACCTTCTGGCTGTCCCATTTAGCGTTTTTTACCCACTTTCAGATTATTTTAGCCCAGTGCTCTCCCAAGAGACTCCCTGGACAAAAACACAATTGAATCATAGCTGGGCTCCTGTGATCCATCCTATTCTGTCCAATCAGGACCAATCACACTCACAAACTTAGCAGAAAGAACAACCATTTAAAGTTTCCATGTGTAACTGATGTCAGCAATTAAGGTTGTGAGATGACCAGAGTTTAAGTGAATTAAAAACAAAAACAGCCCCTAAGACAGGGAGATCTCCAAGTTTAACTCTCTTCCATTCCCCTGTCAGCACAGGGAGATGCTGTGAGCATCTCAGAGCCCGGGGTACACAGGGTGTTTTAAAGGAGCTGCAACTCAGAGCCCGGGGTACAGAATGTTTTAAAGGAGCTACAACTCAGAGCCCAGATTACAGGGTGTTTAAAAGGAGCTGCAACTCAGAGCCCGGGGTACAGAATGTTTTAAAGGAGCTGCAACTCAGAGCCCACAGGGTGTTTTAAAGGTGAACCTGTGCCGCTCCAGTCAGCCAAATGCTGAGCTGTGGATCTCACATGGGGTGGCACAAGGGGAACCTGGGACACTGAGCTGGGCAGACTCACAGCTGGTGAGGTCTGTCTTTCCCCGGAGCAGAGGCTGTCACAAGGCACAGGGAGCCACTGCAGGCACCAGCAGAGCTCGGGGGCTCCCCAGGCTCTCAGCCCAACCTCTCAGCCCCTGTTTCTCGTCTTGTTTCTCGTCTTGCCCGTGTCCCTCTGAGGCACCACCTCCCAGAGCTCCACATGCCAGCTCCCAGCTCTGCAATGCGGTGACAGCCGGGCAGGCTGTTCCCACAGAAAGGCACCGGGCCTGAGGCTTACACTCTGTGTCTTTTCACTTTAAGTAATAAACAAAAACAAGCAAACAAAAACACAAACCAGAAGCCTGGAATGACATTTTGGATGGGAAATAAATAAAGGCTGCCGATGGCTATGATTAGGCTGAAAGTGCCTGAGGCTGGGAGGAGGTTTCCAGGCAACAGGCAGCACCACTGCTGGAGATTTAAAATAGGCTCCAGCTCAGCAAGGCTGCATTTAAATAGGCTCCAGCCAGGCAAGGCTGCATTGAGAACTCGGTCATGCCTTGGCTGCAGGAAACCCAAATGCATCCACACAGGGCTTTTTCTCTTCTTTTTTTGGCACTCAGTTGCTGCTCACTGCAGGACAGGAATACACCTACTCAGAGCTGCCTGCCATCTCTCAAAGCTGTTACATCAATGAGCCAAACTTCAGAGGAATAATTTTTACCAGTGACCTTGAAATGCAGCTTCCTTTATTTCTGTAAGCAGCAGAAACAACCTGGTTCAAGTTCAAGGCACTGCTGATACCAAAGCAGAAAACCATTTGCTGTGTTTGCAGCGTGTTCAGCTGTCATTCAGCTCCAAAGGGATTTCGCTGTGTTAGGATAAACAATGGCAACAGCTGCTGGGAAGTAGGAAGACTAGGAAAATAAAGAAAGGGGGGGGAAAGTTGACACTGTTTTATTCCTTCCCTCCAATCCATCGAGCCTGGAAACCTGACAGCCTCGTGAATACAAGCACTGCTCACTCGTGGAGTTGGTGTGTGGAGCTGTGCTGGAGAGGAACCTGCCCACAGCCCGAGTCAGCAGCCCCAAATGACCAGCCCTTCTGGGTGGCCCAAGGACAGCTTGAAAGTTCACCTGCCAGTGAAGACAAGGTCACACTCCAAATAGAACCCCTTCCAGCAGAAGCAGCCAGCCTGCCACGCTCAGCATAAATAATCAATCCACAACACGAATGCTGCAATAAATGAGGGCAGCACTAATGCAGCAATGTAGGGGGGGTTTTGTTGGTGTTTCTGTTTGTTTTAACCAAAAGCTAAGGATTTCAGTAGAGCTTTCTCCATACCTTTGCCAGCAGGTCATACGGCAGAGCCAGCTGGGATCAGCCAGGGCAAGAGCCAGGAGGAACACAGCCCTGCCCTTTCCAGCTGCACTGGTCCTGCACACTCCTGCCCTCCACAGCACCCAGTGTGAACCAGCTCCCTCCATCTCACAGCCTGCAGAGACAGCTCTGCTGCTTCTTACCAGGACCCCATCCTGGGGCTGCAAATAACCACGAGGCAGCCAACCTTTCCTGAAGCCCATTTCACCATTGCACAACATGATAATTAAGAGTCTGCAATGGCTCCAGGTGGGAACTCTCACATCAAACAGCAACTGCGGCCCTGAACATCCCTTCTTGGGTCATTAATAACATCCTATGATGGGGCAGCTGCCAAGGGTTTACTTGTAGGTTTTGAACATGCTCTTCAAAGATTTCTACGCCTTGAGCTGATCTTCAGGCTTGAAGCAGAGAGCCAAGGGGATAAATCATATTTTGTATCTGGAATTTTGTGGGAAATGAAAGATTCGTCATAAGGTCAGAGCAGAACTTATGTATTTTCAAATCCTAAGTCCTTACGTTTTCACAAATGTTCTGTCCAGGCAACAGGCACAGAAATAGCATCTGGGGCATGGCCACAAGAACAACAGCCATCCCAGAGGGATGTATCAGATATCTTATGTATCTTTAGTTCTGATTCAACAGCAACATCACAGAACCCTTTTCTTAGGGGCAGAAAGACAGACATGTCCTTGGTAGCACAGATGGACACCACAAGAGCCGAGCACCACAAGAACTGAAATGAAACCTCCAACCATAGTGCTTGAAATGTGCTGTAATGCACCAGGCACCCCAGCTCCTGGACACACCCTCCTGGAGGCTGAGGATGCATCTGGGATGCACAATGGCACACCAGCCCATTCCTGTGGCCACGCCAGCTCAGAGCTGCCCAGGGAACCAAAATCTGCCCTCCAAACCCACACCAGCTCAGAGCCCAGGTCGCCAAGGCGGCAGGACCGCGGGGCTGGCAGGCAGATGGAGCAGAGCTGCCATGGGCTGCTGACCACAGACCACATCCACTGCAGATGAGATGTTATTTGGCCCTTTACTGCAAGTCAAACAAGAAAAGGCAGCAGAGAAACACAATCAGGAAGACCAAATCCAGATCCCCATAAGAGGGTCAACACAGCATCACATACTAATTTGGCTCTTCTTCATAGACAGTGAAGAAACCCAGAGAGAAGTGCACAGGCTACAGCTTCAAACTGTGTGCCTATGATTCTTCAAAAAATAAAAACCCGATCACAGTTTCTCTTCATGCTTCACCTCCAAATTAGCATCAGTTTCACTCTGCGTCATTACATTTTTCAGCAGCTCGTTCCAGGAAAAGTGGTTTTACCACTGCCTGCACAACCCAGGGGAATGTCAGCAGCGGGACCAGCTCCAAGTTCAGCTGCAGGGCTCCTAGCTGGGGCTCCTGGTGCAGAGCAGAGAGGGGAATGTCAGCAGCGGGACCAGCTCCACGTTCAGCTGACTGCTTTGAGATGTGCTGCCCTGCTTCCTTTGCTTTCACCAGGAGCACTATAAACAGAGTGGACCTTGTATTGAGAAGACCACTCTCATATCAGTTGGTTAAAAAAAAATAAATATCTCTAGAAGTATCATCTTTCAATTAGTCCCACCACAAAATTCTCCTTAGTGACATGTGCTTGTGTTTCCTGCTTGAGACAGCCCTTGGGCT